TGTGCTTTAATGACAAGTTACGATTTTTTATTCAAACGAGGAATGAAATCTTGGCCGGTGAGAAAATGGCCAGTATATCTTTCAAAATATTACTGTTCTGAAAAAAATAAAACCTCTCGAGTAATCGCTGACAGCCAGATGATAACAGTGTATCTCTTCTTTCACAAAGAGTCGGCAGCATGCTTCTCCTGTTGCATCCATGAGGAAAGTCTTTGACGATTAAGAGGAGAAGTACTAGGCCCCGCAAGGCAAAACCTCTCGAAGTATAGATGAGGCAAAACAAATGCTCTTCGGCAAAATGATTTTTTTTTTCAATGTAAGATGATGTCTCATAACCGCCAAACCTACTGGTTTGCTGGAATCCTGCTTCTGCATGCACAATTTTAACGTGTTTTTACATAGGGTTATGTTGCCTCTCTGGGCATTCATATATTTTCCACTAAATTAAGTCGGGCACAATTTACAGACGGTGTTGTAATTTTGTAATTGTGCGTCAGCTGGAAGCCAGACGGAGGGAGCGATGGTCATTGTATCTGGAACCTCTAAACGCTTTTAATAAATTAGTAATGAATTATCACAATATGTAAGGGAGCAGACTGATGACCAGCCTGGCCTGGCAGCGCATACACGATGTCAATTTCGCTTTATGGTCTGACGTAAAACCAACTGCATTTTTGAACCACAAATTCAAGACAATGGTGCTCTGTGATGCGTGATCCTGGAATGTAAGCCAAGGTATCATTAAAAAGTACAAAGCTTCATCTTTAACATGATACTAAACTTTTTGCTAGTAAACGTATTGTCTGGCCATAATAAACCTTTAAAGTAGGATTACTTTTTTTTCTTCTTCGACACCCTGCTGTTTTTAAGTAAGTCCGTAATCTAAATAAATAAAGAAGAAACTGAATCGTCTGCAAGTGTTGTCAAATCAGGTGTAACTTAATTAAAATAAATCTCAACGCCTGAGGAAGATATTTGCATTTTTTTGTTTAGCTCCGAGTTTCTTTTAAAAAAACACACCTTTCATAGAACAACGGAAATGGAAAGCGGCAGCATTCTCGAGCAGCTGCAGGCTGCGAGTATAATAGTCACATCCTCTGTCTCTTAAACAAGATTTCTGGCTACGCAACTGGCAGTCCCGGACATCGCAGGGAGCCTCCCTAGCAACAGTATTTCTAGGCAACCGGGTTGGAATGAGACAATGGTCACGCTCCCGTTGCTCGAATTACAACGTGTTGGCAATCACTCCGGTTGAGCGTCGGTGTAAGGAACGTCCTATATGAAAGCAACCAATGGCGGATTTATTTGCCGGGAACCGGCTCATTTAATTGGCTGATATTATCATCACTGTTCACCAGCAAAGAGCCCTCCATTTACTGGCGGCACTCCAGTTGAGCGTCGGCGTAAGGAACGTCAACAATTTATGAAAGCAACCAATGGCGTAATTATTCGCCGGGAACCGGCTCATTTAATTGGCTGAGATATTATCATCCCTGTTCACCAGCAAAGAACCCTCCATTTACTGGCGGCACTCCAGTTGGGCGTCGGCGTAAGGAACGTCAACAATTTATGAAAGCAACCAATGGCGTAATTATTCGCCGGGAACCGGCTCATTTAATTGGCTGAGATATTATCATCCCACCAGCAAAGAACCCTCCATTAACTGGCGGCACTCCAGTTGGGCGTCGGCGTAAGGAACGTCAACAATTTATGAAAGCAACCAATGGCGTAATTATTCGCCGGGAACCGGCTCATTTAATTGGCTGAGATATTATCATCCCTGTTCACCAGCAAAGAACCCTCCATTAACTGGCGGCACTCCAGTTGGGCGTCGGCGTAAGGAACGTCAACAATTTATGAAAGCAACCAATGGCGTAATTATTCGCCGGGAACCGGCTCATTTAATTGGCTGAGATATTATCATCCCTGTTCACCAGCAAAGAACCCTCCATTTACTGGCGGCACGTCACAAATTCGGGTTTCTTACAGCTGAATTCAAACAAGAGATGTATTGTATCAATTTCATTGAATAATGTCGCTACCAATCATTTTCTGGAAGGCTATTTCGGAGCTGAGCTTTGATTTGAGATTCTTTTTTCAGAAACCGGGGAAGATTTTGGGGGATTAATATTCCAAGTCAAAATAATTTATTAAATGTTGCGCCACGTTATGTTTGGCGGGTTTTTTTTTGTCGTAGTAGATTTCATTCTTTGCTCATTAAAAAAAACGTTTGGCCTGCAATATTTTGTGTAAATGTTGCTCTAGAATATAATTATTTCGGAATATATTTTGACATTAGGTATTAGGTGAAAGGGTTTTTGTTAATCTTATTCTTATTCCTTTCAAAATTATTTTCCAAAACTATTGCATCATTTGTATTATGATAATATGATCCCCCTTTATCTACAGAAGAATTAACTGAGACTTAATTCAGAAAGTAATGCATGGGCAAGGGTGTTTGAAATCGTTTTACTTAAAATTAAAAAAAACAATATAAAGAGAATGAGACATATTATATCACATTGAAATAACTCCTATTTATTTGTTGTCTGTCTCTAGCTCTCTGCGGCCGAGACGATTAAAGGGGTGACGATTTTATTCTTCGTTTATTACAGAAAGCTGCATGGCCTACATTATTCTGTTTAAATATTCTACTCTTGAATGTATTTTGGAACATGTACACATTGCTTTTGACGTTCAGTATTAAATTTAAGGGCTATTGTTAGTCTTGATCATATTCATTTAAAAAAAAATTAAAAGTATTATTCGTATTAAATTTCTTCTGGAATTTACAAAAGAAAAACTTAGAGTTCACAATTTAACGGGCTGGGGTTTTTGAAACTGTTTTGCTTTAACAAAGAAAAAGAAAAGAAAACAAATCCCATAAAAATACGAAAACCCGAGCCTACCTCGTATTAAATTTTCCCCTGGAATCTACAAAACAATTAACTGAATGTTCAAAATGTAACGGACTAGGGTGTTTTAAAAAAAAATAGAGAACCAGACGTAAATCTCTCTCTGAGAAAATAATCTCTCTCTGAGAAAATAACAGGGGCTGACGATTTTATTCCGAGTCTATTTTCAACAACAACAACAACAACAAAAAACTTCCCAATAATGATTGACAGCTATCTGATAACAATGTATCTCTTCGTTCACAAAGAATTGGCAGCATGCTTCTCTTGTTACATTCACTTCTTGTATTACATCCGTTGGAGATTCTTTGATGATTAAGTGAATGTAAGAACTGAAAAAGGATGGCCAATCAGTCACTGCCCTTTCACAAATTCTTATTTTAATTGGCTAAAGACCGTAGCCCTAGTTTCTGTTCCGCTTGTGTTTTGATTGGACGGCAGTTACTGCATTTGGGAGTATGCTTTCTAACAAGGTGCCGGCAATTTTTTTTTTTTTTTTTGACTGGGGGAGGGGGAATTGTTCAGGGTGTAGTGATTCGTTTCACCTGGATTAGCCAACTTGTGGGAAATGAACGGCGCAAAGACGGCCGTCCCAGGGCGAAAAGCCAAGCCGGTATTTCCGGCGATGTGCGGTCTGTCTTCCACACACAGGCGTTCCCCACTCGTGAAGCCACACGTGGTACAATTCGCCAAAGAGGAGCCGACTTTTTTTACTGGGAGGGAATTTTTAAGGTGTAAAAACTTGTTCCTCTTTGAAAGGACATCATTCAGCCGCCAATTTGCGGGAAATTAACGGCGCAAAGACGGCCGTCCCAGGCGCAAAGCCAAGCCGGTATTCCGGGGCGGTGTGCGGTCTGTCTTCCCCACGCGTGGGATAGTTTTCCCCGCGCGTGGAGCCACGCGTGGGACAAAGCGCCAAATCTAATCCCGCATTTTATTCCCGCGCGTGATTATCGCGTTGAGCCGGTCTCCGTCTTTCTGTCAGTGAAAGAAATATTATTCCGAAGAACGAAATGAGTCTTTGTTCGGGACTGGACATTTCAAGTTTCCTGCATGGGAATAGAATATTTGGGACATAAATTCTCTGAAGAGATAGGGAACAGAATATTCTATACCGAGAAAAACTAGGCGGGAAAAATATTCTCGCAAACCAGGAAAACACTATTATAACATGAGGGGGAAAGATCTCTTCGGACCCATATACGAAAAAAATGATGCTGTGGTAAAGTTGCAAGTTTTCATTCATGTTTTTATTCAAAGAGGAATATGAACAGAGCCAGTTAAAAAAGGGAATAAAAAAAAACACTTCCCAAAGAATGATTGACAGCCAACTAATAGCGGTGTCGTCGGCAGCATGCCTCTGTTGTCCAATTGACTTCTCGAATTACATCCGTGTAGAGTTTCTTTGTTGACTAAGGGTCATGGTCTGCAGCCAATTAAAGTAGGAATTTGTGAGATGGCAAGATGTGATTGGTCGTCGTTTGTCGTTCTGAAATTCAGCTTCGTTCCACTTGTGTTTGATTGGACGGCAGTACTGCCTTGGGAAGTATTCTTTCATAGAACTTGAGAAGGAGCCGACTTTTTTTTACTGGGCGGGAATTTTTAAGGTGTAAAAACTTGTGCCTCCTTGAGTTGACATCATTCAGCCGCCAACTTGCGGGAAATTAACGGCGCAAAGACGGCCGTCCCAGGCGCAAAGCCCAGCCGGTATTCCGGGGCGGTGTGCGGTCTGTCTTCCCCGGCCCCACGCGTGGGATAGTTTTCCCCGCGCGTGGAGCCGTGCGTGGAGCCACGCGTGGGACAAAGCGCCAAATCTGTTCCCGCATATTTTTCCCGCGCGTGATTATCGCGTGGAGCCGCTCTCCGTCTTTCTGTCAGTGCCCATGTGCAAAACACTGCGGCGTACACGCGATAACCACGCGTGATTAGCGCGATAAACACGCGGTAAACCTAGCTAGTGATAAAATGTAAATAGCGTGGTATGCGTGTTATCGCAGGAGTCTAGATTCTTTCGCTCCACACTGTACAGTGGAAGCAATTTGTTCTTGTACTAATGAGTTCCCTTGTGTGACGTATTCCAACCAGGGCAAGAACATCAAGGGGATCCGGAGCCGTTCAGGCGCCCGGGTGGCTCTCCGGGACTGGCCTGATGATGAGACAAGACAAATCTGTGTAGTTGAAGGTAACTCTTGACTCATTCCGATTTCACATCTGTCTAGTTTACTTGAAATGTTCAGATGTTGCTCGATGTCAGTAAAACTTGTTTCCTGTCACAGCACAGTACATGGATTATTCCTATTACTCCCTAGTCCCTTTTTGTTAAATTATTTTTCATAACTTTGTTTTCTGCTTAGAATTATACATGTGTGTAATTGGTTTTTTTTCTGTTATTGTTCGTCTGTCTTGTGTAATGGCATGCCTGATACAAGCTATGCTTTTAAGGTTTTGCCACCTTTAGTGACCTTTAAACTTTGTTTCAGTACTTATACAGTGTATTGTTTTTTCATTTCTGTCATGAAGAGGAAATAAATGTGATTTGATTTGATTTGATTTGAATTTGCTAGGAACCATCCTCAGTCCTCAAATATCCTCAAAAATTTTGCACTTATGTTCAAATGAAGGATGCCCAGCGCCTCAATCCGTCAAAATTGTCAGACAGGCCTGCCTTAAAAAAATGCACTCATCCTCAACCCTTCAAAATTCTCTTCCTTTTTCAAACACCATTCATTCTCAATCCTCCAAAATCCTCATGTTTCTCAAACATTATTCGTCCTCAATCATCCAAAATCCTCCAGGTGATTTTGGATGATTTTAGAGGATTGAGGCTGAATGGCAAAAAAGGATTGATTGATCTTGGATGATGCATTGCGACAAGTTCACAGGCTGAACCCAGCATTGTTTATGTTCAGGCATGCATAAATGAGCCCTGCATTATACTCGTCAATATCCTCAATGCTTCTGAATGTAATCGGCACCTCCCCAACCCAGTGAGGATTTTAAAGTTTGAGGCAATGGTCACCCCTTCTCTGAACAAATTTTTAAAAAATAACGGATGATTTTGAAGGATTGAGGCTGAATCCAATTTTTACATGATGGCAATTGGAGGATTTTGCAGGATTGAGGATGGCTCCTAGCCAAAAGGGCCTAGGGGGATTAGGGTTAAGTAACGTAAACACCCTCAAGTTATTGTAGAACATTTGTAAAAGCATTTTACATCAAATAGACCAAGAAAAGTTGTTATCAGAGGAGATTAAGCTCATGTTTAATTCTTCTAATTTGTAGGTTTTCAGAGCGAGATTGATGTGGCACTGGCAGACATCCAAAAGAAGTTTCCTGCCGTTGACACCAGTAAACAGTACATTGAGAGCGAGCAGATAACGGCACCTGGAGCCACAGTACCAGAAATGTCACAGGTACAGATAAAAGGACTGATTCTCAAGCACCTGGCTGTAGCTGGCGCGCGCGGTACACACACTGTGTGCGTGTGGCTCAGAGCACAGGGTCTCGCCACCGGTCTTAAAGGAAGAGTAGATCAATTGCAGCTATCCAAAACGTAACTGACTAAATTATTGTTCAAATTTTAATTGGTTTAAAGATAGTAATGGCACTAAACTCTCTGTAGAATTATTCTTTCCAGCATGCTGTCATTTTGAAGAAAACAAAAGAAGGTCATTTCCAAAGATGAGTCAAGTGGCATATTTTTGGAAATTTCCGTTAGTACAAGTGTAGTTGGTTTGTAATTGGGCGAATCCATGAATGGGTGCACGCAGGTGTTGACACAACGCACATGCACGCGCGGGTGCTATTCATTGCGTGACATCGCGTAGATGCAATCGGCTGAATGAGAACGTGTTCCAGATGCAGATTCAAAATACGACTCGGCAACTTTTGAATTGAAATCGAGATCCTAGAATATTGTTTTCTCGGAATGCACAGAATTCACAGAGCTAAAACTTCATCCTAGGTTAGTTATTAAGCACCCGTCTTTAGATTTTGAGTACTTTTGTTCAAACGAGAAAAAAATGCACAAATAACAAATAATCTACCCTACTTTTAAAACAGCGCTCACTGTTGTTTCAATTGCGTTTAAGACCAGTAAACTGTTCCAAGTATTTATGAATATGATACAAAAGTTGAGGTAATTTCCATTTTGCTTGAACATTAAAGGGAAAATACAACATTTGCAAACATGAAAAAATAAAACTACCAAATCATTTTGAAATACCTTGCTGGACTGTTAGTGAATGAAAGTGTAAAGCATCCTGTAAAATCATGGCACCTGGTATACTGTCATTTTCAAGAAATGTGGTATTTTTGTATCAATTTCCAACGCTGGTCGGCCGACCAGCGTTGGAAAAAACTGGCTTTTTTTCAAATACTGGCCCCAATTGACCATCGCACTTGTTTGCAATCGATTACACACCTATGAACGGGTACAAGCCAGCTAGACTGGTTCCCTGACCTTACAATTCCCCAATGTATGTAAACTGCTCTTTTTCTTCTTATATGGAGTCAGGGAACCAGACTACAGGAAAATGATTGTTTTTCTTGGTTTTTATAGCATTTTCGAACCCAAAACCTCAAAAAAGTCAGTGTAACTATATTTGCTATATATTTCCAACCCCCCAATTCCATCCATTTCTGAAAATTACAGCAAAAGCAAATGATGTATATTCCCTTTAACATGGAGATGCATACATTGTTCAAGACAATACTGTCTGGGGGGAATAAAATTGCCTTGGCCCAAATGTGAGGTCACAAGGCTCCATTCTATTGATTCCTTTATGTGATTTTCAAATTTAGAAGTTTCAATGCCTCCTCTTCTTCCCGCAGATACACCTGCACGACGAGATAGTCAATGATGTCATAGTCTCCAGCGTGGTGTCGGCGGGTCACGTCTTCATCCAGCAGCCCACGCATCCCACCTACATGGCCCTGACTAGACTCAATAGCTTCATGGGTAACTGCTACAGTCAGGTGGATCTGACCCCACCCCTCCCAAGGCCCATTGAAGGTGTGCTACCACAATGAGCCAAATCTGTATTCCAACTGTGCATGTGCTTAACAAGATTTTGACGAATTTTACTTCGGGATAAGATAAATGCACATTATGGGGGACGCATTAATGCACATAATGGGGGACGTGATAACCGAATCTGCATTCTGAAGTTTTCATGCAATCAAAAAGACGATGGAAAGTTTCGTTCTCACAAAAGTTGGGGCTTACAAAACATCTGAAAACACTGTCCAAACTGTTTGTAGTTTTGTGCTTGGCTCAGAACAAGATAATTTCTTTCTATTTTGGTAGTACACCCTTGGATGAATACGGCGAATTGTTTGTCAAGAAAGGAAGATCGTGAAATCTTGATGTGCACATGTGCAGTCGGAATACCAATCTGGCTTATTATTCATATCCTGCATGAGGATGATATTGTCCACACCAAGTAGTTTGTGGCATTTTTTGAATATTTTAGTGTTAATTTGTTCTAATTTGGATGTTATTGAATTTTCGTAACGTGCCGATTCAAACCAGAAATTTCTTTGCGCAGTCGGAATACCAATCTGGCTTATTATTCATATCCTGCATGAATATGATATTGTCTGCTCCAGGTAGTTCTGTGGTATTTTTTGAATATTTTAGCGTTCATTTTTTTCTTATTTGGATGTTATCAAATTTTCGTAACGTTTTTTATTTAATTTTTTATTTACGTCATCTTTAGTGAGGGTAGCTCACTGCTTTCCATGGAGGCCCTCAATATGAGAAATATGAGACCCATTATGTAGCACCTTTTTTAAGGGTTACAAGGTGCTGCGGCGCATATTGTAGCCAATGCCAGAAACACCGGGGCAAACCCCTTCTCTTAGCGATAAGTGTTACTGGGTTCTTTAACGTGCATTACACAACACACGGGACCTACGGCTTTACGTCCCATCCGAAGGACGAAGCAATAATGGTTAAGTGCATTGCTCAAGGGCGCAAGTGTCCGGGCCCGGGCTCGAACCCACGTGCCGATTCAAACCAGAAATTTCTTTGCGCAGTCGGAATACCAATCTGGCTTATTATACATATCCTGCATGAATATGATATTGTCCGCTCCAAGTAGTTCTGTGGTATTTTTTGCATATTTTAGCATTCATTTTTTTTCTAATTTCGATGTTATCAAATTTTTGTAACGTGCCGATTCAAACCAAAAATTTCTTTGTGTGCACTGGTTAGGAACTGCTTTTCTGGTACTGAATATGCATGTGCCAGTTGAGGTTTGTGTGCATCGATGGAAAATTACACGTGCCAATCCAGAGTTAAATGGGCTGATGGTGAATTGCATGATGGGCCTCTCGGAAATGCCCCAGTACAAATGTGAAGACCAATCCGAGCATGCTGTCAATTCCATCATGAAGGCCCCCTTCAATGGCGAAAGCATTGTGCTAGCTATTGTACAGATAATCTGTAACGAGGCAATTGCATTAGTAGCGTGCACAGTGGTTTCTCCATTGAAGGTGTACAGTGATCATGTGCCCGGATTCGTCTATAAGTTGAGGCTGAGTTTTGAATATAGTTTTTATTATGTTGCACAGTTTGTTTTTATTGTTTGTGTTTCCCGTACTAAGGGAAGTTGTCACACTATTCCTGAATTTTAGTCCCAGTGAAATTGTTAAACATTGGCCAGATTGGTATTCCGACTGCACAAAGAAATTTCTGGTTTGAATCGGCACGTTACAAAAATTCGATAACATCCAAATTTGAACAAATTAACACTAAAATATTCAAAAAATGCCACAAACTACTTGGTGTGGACAATATCAGATATTGTCCACATGTACATCAGATTCGAACCGGCCACCTGATCCCGTTAGCTCGGTGGTCGAGTGGTAAGACATCTGCACTAGAAAGCAGGAGGTCGTGGGTTCGAGTCCCACCCGAGTGATTTTTCCAACTTTCACTCGGGAGGTAACACACTGAGTATACAGTGTTTAAAAACGTCGGTGAAGGGCAAAACCTAATTTGATTTAAACATTGGTATCGTGTTAATCCACAAGTTTTGTCCATCCCCGTTCCCTCAGTCGGCGTTATCTGTGCCGCTCCCATGATGCAAGGCTGGTACCGTGCCCAGATCGTGGACGTCTACCCGGACACGGACGAGGTGGACCTCAAGTTCCTAGACTATGGCGGCTACGCCCGGAGTGAGAGCTACTTCCTGAAGCAGATCCGAACTGACTTCATGACGCTACCCTTCCAAGCTAACGAGTGCTACCTGTCCAACATTGCTCCTTTGACGGGTGAGTGAAGAGGCAATTGAAGACAAGTCTTTAAGACGTGCACAAAATCGGGGATGTAGCTTCCAGCCACTGTTTTATAAATTTAGGGCCTTGGCTGTGTTCGACCTTATCCTCGGGCGTGCAACTTTTCTTCGGAACCGCTGATTTCCTCGTGTTTTTTTTGTTTTTTTTTACTTCTCATTAATGCCATTACAAATTGAAAAACACTGTACAAAGTCTTGTGTGGTTTGGAGTTTCCTCGTTTTTTCTGTCTAAATTCCCAGTTTGCATCCTGCTGAATCCATCAACTTCCAACGGCAAAAAAACTTAAATGCTGGATTTTGTTTGATTTTGTTCGATTTTGTTCTAGCTGTTGGCTTTGGTTAGATTAAGCTGGCTTAACGCTTCAATTGCTAGTGGATGATTTTGAATTTTTGGTCACCATGAAAAATGGGGGCAAGGATAATAGAAAACCTTGGTTCCACTTGGATTCCCTGTTGGACACAATTACATATGGTTTTCAGTTTATTCATCAGATTCTTGGATTGGCTTCAGTGCCCTTGTCAAAAGGATGATTGGCTACTATTGGTAGAGTGATGATACTCGTAATAGTCCTGAGCCCATTACCAAGAAGATATATAAATCCATCGTATGTTGGGTCAAGATGTCGTTGTATACTAGATACATGACCACCTGCCACTAGAGGGTGTAATCACAACGAATCAGTATCACCCACGAACCGCTATCACAACGTCGTCTTGGGTATCTTTCCCTGTGAAATGGGGGAAACTTGTGCGCGCGCATGTGTTACTTCTGCAGGCAAATACAGTCTATTTTCGTTCGCATGCATGCTACATCAACAAAAGAACTACCATGAAGTTGCAAAATTCAGAGTTTGGTTTTGAGCTACCGTAATATGCAAGGTGTTGAATGCGTGCTGCATAACCCTATTAAGAGTCCCAAGGCCTTTTTGCTAGGATGTAGCCTCAATCCTGCAAAATCCTCCAATTGGTCTCATGGAAAAATAACATATAGCCTCAATCCTGCAAATTCCTCCATTTTTTTCTGAAATATGATTCGTGGAGGGGTGACCTCTGCCTGAATCCTGCAAAATCCTGCGGCAGTGACTGTCAATATGTTGAGGCTTGGCCAGTGACATCCTGGAGCAGTACGGAGGATTTCAAGCATAATCCAGGCCTATATTTTTGCATGACTGAGCAAAAATAACACAAGGTCCGGCCCAAGACCTTGACAAAGTACATCCTACAAAATCAGTAACGCACGTTTGCCATGTAACCTCAATCCTCCAAATTCCTCCACTTTGGCAAAGAGGATTTTATAGGATTCAGGGCAGTTGGGGATCAGCAGAACAGGTGCAGGCGCATGACATAACCGGTAAAAGATTCCCAAGATGATGTTGTGATCGTGGTTTGGCCTTTGTGGGCATTGATCTCCATTTTATAATGGATATCAATATTCCTATGTGATAGAGGTTCCTTTTGATAACACCCTCTTTTGGCACGTGATGGCGTATCCGATATACAACAATAATGTATTGAACTGAGACTAGTGATATCTGTGTAGACTGATGAAATCGTTAATTGAGTAATAAGGCAATTTTTCTCCCCTTATAGGAGAAGAGGACTTCTCTGAGATGGCCAGGGTATTTGTGGAGCAGGTCGCACAGAACTTCAACATCTTACAGGCTCAGGTCACTGGCTACAGTGAGGATGGCATGCCATTCATTGAGCTTTTCTATACAGACAGCGAGAGGAGGGTATGCATGGGATGTTTTGTTACTTCAGTACTTTGCCCCTCTACTTTTGGTCACATTTGCAACCATTTGTTAGTAGGCTTTAGACGACTCCTTGATAGTTTAAGTCTGAAGTGCATCTTGTCAATAACAATTATTTAGGTACTTAACCATGCAGCCCGCAATGTGGGTCAAACTGATAATTGTGCAAGCGCATCATAATAGGGATACAATTCTAACAAGGACTAGAGCTAATGTGCTTCCCGAAGCACGGATTTCAGCCTAAATTGCCGTTTTATCGGTTTGTCTGAATACTGACTCGCACTGACCACAAGGTGATCATTGCTAAATGTGGCTGAGATCGGCAAAAGAAGGTAAAAGAAACAACTATGAACATTTGACATTAAGACCCCCGAAACATTACATAAAATAGCCGCCAAGACAATACATGAAACAGTAGTTTATGCCCGTAGATTAATCCACAAAAACAATCAAAAATTAATCACAGAAATAGTATTATTTATTGGCCTCCGTACCTTTTAATTATTATTATTATTATTATTATTATTAGCAACCAAAGCATCTAAAATGGTTGGATTAAAATATTTTGAAAGATATTTAAATTACATTTGAGTTTGAAATAATATGCTTTTAAATAGCAATGCACATTAAACATTAAAAGCTCCAATAAAACAACAACAAAAATCAATCCAAACCAAATTACTGGAAACATACTTTCACAGACCTAGAACATGACTAACAGAGCTCCAACGGACATGACAAGTATTTAAATTTAAAAACAAAACATTTCAGTTATAATACATATTTAAATCATTTAGACACACATGCATTCACAGGTAACTTCACACGATATACAAACACTTCAACCTAAATAGTCATTAATATCAACATCAGCAACAACTTAACATTGCTAAAAAGTGACTAACAATTAGGACTGTAAATTATAGAGACACCAGGGAATGAAACTATTCTTCAGTCTGTTCGTTTTACAGAAAGGCAGGCTGAACTGTCTTTGGTTCCTTAATGCATACGATACAGGCTGGTGATTTTAATCCGCGGTGGAGTATCTAGCTGAATACGTATATCTTGTCGCAGGTGGCACTGCCTTTTAAACAAACCGAAAGAATGCAGTATCGAGACGCCACTTCAGCGGTTGTGTGCAAAGTCTATGGAGAGTGGGGCACTGTGCGTGCAATTGCTTGCCAACGCAGTTGACCGCAGGCGCACGGATGCCACACAACATCCACAGTATCGTGCGTGGTGGTTTGAAACCTTCCCAGAATTCCTATGTTTTTATATTGTTTTTACGTGCGTTTGAAAAATTAAAAACTTGAAATAACTCGACAACCAAATAAGTCAGGAATATGAAATTTGAGAATTAGAGATAAACAAATACACTGAACAGGGCTGCAAAGATTTAAAATGTAAAACAGCTTTTTAATTTTTTTCCTAAAATGACCCCTACTGACCAAAAGGTGACCACTGGCCAAATTCTGTGAACAACGTTGTGAGGCTTGGTCCAAAGATATAACTGACCAAGTTTTACATCAATTGGGTCAAGACTGTGGGAGAAAAAGCATTTTGTAAATATTCATTAAATGACCTCTACTGACCCTTGGATGACCAGTGGCCGGATTTTACAAACATGGCTAGGTAGGGCATGTGACAAGGTTTAATTTGGTTTGTTTGAAATCGGCCAACTAGTTTAGGAGTTATGGCCATTTTTTCATTGGTCACGTGACCGTTTGCCCGAAGAAAGAAAGAAAGAAAGAAAGAAATCGGAGGATCACAGTATACCAGCGTGCTTTGCACGGCTGATATAAATCCAACAAGCCTATTTTGGGATGTTGTTGGATTCAGCATTAGCTTTTTGAGATATGGCAGACACAATAAGAAGTTCACTTTTTAGTGAGGGTAAATTCAACAGAGTTGAATGAAACCAAATCGTATCCTCCTACTGTGACTGCCATATCTCAAAATGGCTGATGGTTTGGGTGAACCATCACTTGCTTGCCTTTGCATTACTAGCTTCAATAGTTAGTGCTAACACAAGTGGCAATTTTGTGATGAAGTTCTGTGAAATATATTGGCCCTCAAAGGATGAAATTTTGAATGGACTGTGTGCCAACTACCATGCTTTCCTGACCTAAAACAAATTTTATAAAGTGTAATTAAGCGCTGTCACACGCATTCTAAGTTGCTGAAAGAAAAGACACTCTCAAGTCATTTTCACACTATCGTCTACCCTACCCGTGTTGAATTGGGTCCACAACCGGGTCCCATCCAACATGGGCAGGCAAGGCACGCCGTTCACTCTTAGAAAAGTGTGTACGTACACGGGTCAACTGTAGATTTTAGATTTTCTGCCCAGGTAGAGCCTCTCAACTCTGGTCCTGACTAGGGTTGGATTTTACCCGTGTAGAGTGCCAGACCCATGTATAAGCCGTGGTGGATTCTTGCTAGTGTGAAAGGGGTTCGGGAAATCTATGTGGTGGATCCTGTTTCAACAGGGAGATTGTAGACAGTGTGAAGGCCCTTTGATTTGTCATCTCAAAATCTGTTGTTATTTCATGTCATCCAAGTCCAGGCCATTGGTTTGTTTTGGCATCCCAAGTCACCCAATGAAACCATTTGTCCCCCCGCAGGTGCAATCTCTGAACAAGGAGTTGGTCAACCAGGGCCTGGTCACGTGGTACGAGGAAGGCATGGAGGAATCACCCATAGACGCCAGCTTCGTGTCAGAGGTAGACCAAACATCCCAGTAAAGTCAGATTAGAACCAGTATTGAGAAGTAGGTGGACTTTAAGCAAAGCCTCATATTTATTGGACTAGCTCACCTGGGGACAGTCTCGGAAGCAGCTCGGAAGAGCTACTTTTTGACAAATTAATTAATTGATGGTCGATTTCATTTTTGGAATATTACCCAGATCTGTTGCCTAATGAGAGTTAACCACTTTGGTTAGAATCACTGACAGTTCCTAATGAATTTCTTTCCAATGTATAGCTCATTTTTAAGTAGCATTTCCTGTGCTATTTTTTGAGTTTCATCCTGTGCAAAAACATATTCCTTTTCTAAATTGCTATTTTTCTAGCAATACAAAAGTTGTTCATTTTTTAGCGACACATAGACTGGGAAAAAAAAAAAAAAGGCCCATGTTAATAGTTGTTGAATCATTACTTTACAAATTTCTGTTCTTGCGGGATATGCTGGTTCCCGTTCCACGATCAGTATCAATAATGTACGAACTGGGAGCCAGTCTGTTCGCAAGGCTGATCTGTTTGTGCCCAAAATAAAAACCATTTTTCAATGGAGGGTTTTTGGTTGGAATAAAGAGTACAAGTTCGAAAATTTATCTAGAGAAACAAAAATATCTTTGTAGATGTGCATGGAAAATGTAACTTTAGAAGTGTTTATAAAATCTAAACCATACGTTGCAACTAAATTCTCATCTCTACGATTGTGTTACACGTCGCAAGACCGCATTTTTTTCTGAACAATGAGCGAGTTCAGTTTTCTTTGCCCTGAAAATGTTTTGTCTCATTCCAACTATGCTGTTTCTCTCTCTAAAAAAAAAAAAAATACTTTCTCAATAATTTTATGAAGTGAAGTGAAATTTTCAAGGTGCAGCTTTGTTCAGAAGTAATTAGATTTAGTTCAGATTTAGCGATATGTAAATAAAATATTACAAATTCAGGTCTACCGTTTTTTTTTGTAAATACATTTTGTTAAGCTTTTTTTTGTTAAGCTTTTTTTGTTGTCTTTTTTAAATTTGGTGGTTGGCTAAGATATTTTGAGGCGGGCTAAGAGATATTTTTTTATTTCAATTTAGATTGTTGTGATTCCCATTGTCCGGCCTAACAGTAAGATATGGTGCAGAAACCATACATGTAGTTAGTCAAAAAAATTTGGACTCTCAATACTGTGTATGAGAGTCCCAAAACTTAATGCAATACAAGAAAATGGACTGGCACCTGAAACAACCAGTCCAACACAGCTTTAGTACTGCATCAATCAACTGTGCCAAAAGAAACACGTGGCAAGTTAGGAACTAGTCTCTATTTACTACACATTTCTCCATAATCAGTCACCAGACTAATGACACTGAATGAAGAGGTCAGTCTTTTCAAATAGTTGGACCATGGTTGGACATGTACCAGCCTAGTCTTTAGCCTCATTTTGAAATCGCCCTCTCATGTGAAAAATATTGAAGACTGAAAAAAATTTCTCCTTCAAACTTGATTTGTGAAATACTGAGGACCTTTTCTTTGCCCAATGAAAATTTTGGCCCGGTTTAGTTTTGCACGTTTCAGAGCACTCCAGGTCCCGGTCTGACATGTAGTGTGATAAAGATTTACCTCAGAGATGCAATAATTAAATGAAATTCGAAAATACCTAAGATAGTGTATACCCCTTTCTATTGGTCGAGAGCCCATCACATGGGTGGTTTTAAATGGTTGATAAAACACCAACTGGTTTTAAACAAGTCCAGCTAGGGGCCTGGTTGCGGATTATGGCCCTCGCCTTTGTTTAAACAGGCCAAGCACATATTTATTCCTTAAAAGTCTTATCATGTGCCACATGGTAAAAACTAATTTCACAGAAAATCATGCAATTTGAGAAGTTATAAACTTCAGATTTTTTTTTTATTCCATTGTGATTACTCAAACTGGTAAATGTCCGGTCACGAATACTTAATCGTGAAGCCCTTTATTCAGTTATGAAATTCTTTTTCACTGCTTTGCAAGAATTGCGAATTTGTTAGAAAGAATAAAAAATTGTATCCTTGCTTTTGACCTATCACCTTTTTTTCTTTTCATTCCACGTAGTTAAGAACTAGAAGAACCTTATTTGTACCAAAGTTTTTGTTTCAAGTTTAAACTAAGTATTCATTGTAAGAAATGATGAAAAGGCTCCTTGGGGGAAAAAAAACCCATCTGGGATTCTGCCAAACTAAATGCTGCTTTAAGTTTTACCCATTAATTAATCACTTTCCATTTTGTTGGTTACTAAACTCGAACAATCTCCAAAATAAATATAAAACACCAAACTAAGTTTGATTAAAATAACTTTGTTAGAAAACATCTTGGAATGGTAAATTTCGAAATGGTAAAATGCATATAGAAAGGTATATTGTAACCGAAGTTGTTAAATTTACTAGATGTCTGTTTAATTTCTGCTTTCAAATGGGGTTGTCGATCTTCGAGTAAATCAGTATTTGATTATTCAAAACTACGTTTGACCGAATATTTGAAACTCGGCGGTCGAGTTTACACATGCCAGCTTCAACTGCATGCTGTACCCGTAAAAGCATTTTCAAAAAGTGTTTTTGATTTAAAGAATATGATGTCATTGACAAAAAGTAATGCATATAATACCGATAATTGCAATATTCAAGACAATTTGAAATGGAATCAAACGGGAATTGATTACCATATATGTTTGAGTACATCGTATTTTTATTTTTTGTTCAAAGGAAAGGATCACTGTCTTAGTTTCCACGGAGTGATCATGTTTGTAAAAGATTAAAAAAAACAACTTTTTGGCAAGGATTAAAGTTTTGTAGCAAAATATTCAATGTTCACACGGAATGACAAAAAAAAATGGAGTTAAAAATAACACAAATTTCTTGATATTGAATTTCAAATTCATGCACAAGCAAGGACGCAGAATCTATAATGATAGTAGATAAAGATAAGTGTTTCAATGTGTAAAAGGTCAAGCCAGATTTATTCTCTGTGTAAATCTCAATAAATGCAAAGTCGCTTTAATAGCAAAAGTAAGATGTGTTTCGTGTCATTGTTCTTATCTTGCATCTTTTGCCTGTCAGTATTTTGACACAAGAAATAATCTTTATTTAATATAGCCTGAATTTCTTCTCTAAATGTCCCCTTTCAACATAGTAATATCTGTTTAATAATTTTACTGCCCCAAAAATGTCGCCAGAGTTGTGATAACTCGAGTCCAACTTGAGGCACAATTTTGGGTGACTCGGCTCGAGTCCCTCATCAGAAGACTCGACTTGTCTCGACCGAAGGCTAATAAGACTGAGTGTGTCCCCCTCTTAAAAAGCAAAACTTTGAGAAAAATATCTATGACGTGGTGCAAAATTTATGTTCATGCCACTCTGTGAGTACAGTACGGTACTGCATGGTACATGTCACAGACTCCAATCTTGTGGTTCTGAAATGCACAAAGTATTCTGAAAACGGAATTTAAATTTAAACACATTTTTCCAATTCTCGGTTTCATCAATCATTGGCTTTGGGCGATTCTTATTGAACGCGGACTAAATTTATGCCCTCCATTTAAAATGTAAAGTGTTCAAATATTCATGACATGCATATTTTACTCGACTCGACTTGACTCGCTTTTGCCGGTGTCAGCACCCCCCCCCCCCCCCAAAATAGTTCTGGATCCGCCCTTGTGAGAAATCAGACTGATTGTTTTGAAATCTGAACATTCATATGCTCTTGTTTCCCTTGGTAAAGCATAGAGGAATACTAATGATAATATGGGGTCTTCTGTTAAATGACCTGTTTCATATTTCACTAGCTGTCAGTCAGTTTCTCTACAATGAACTCTTCCATATCTTTTTTTTTTTCTTTCCTTTTTTTCCCTCAGGGGAAACTTATTTATTCAGAAGAAACATTTCTCTTGCGTTTTACAATAAGTATAAACAAATAATACATTAATCATTACATAAAAGAGAGAATGGATCCCATTTCGCATTAAATATAGCAAGATCACCATTTGTAGTAAATATAAATTTTTCCAAGTATCGTTTTAGCTCATTCTTAAATACTAAAAGAGACGGTTTACTACCATTCATCTTCATTTTGTAAATGTGGTAACGGCATAGGAGAAGACTTAAATTAAGGGCCCCCCAGTTTTTGTTAAGTATGCCAAATAAAATCATCTCGTAATCTACAAACACGTTAATATTCAAAGTCTCCTTAATCCAATCACTAATTTGAGTCCAGAACGATAAAGAAATCTCACAAGTGCAAAATAAGTGAATCAGAGTTTCCTATTCTACATGACAGAAGGAACACAAGTCGTTCTCCCCTTTACCAATCTTTACCAAATAAGAATTGACGCCCAGGATTCTATGGACCAATCTGTATTGAAACCATCGTAATTTTGTATCACAAGTAATCGTAAAGGGCATACTGCAGAAAACCGACCATTTAGTGGCAGGGAAATTGATTTTGATGAACTCTTCCATATCTATCATCTCGCTTCTTGACATCCAGTCCTGATTCATTCCCTTTCTTTATTTGTCGGATTGCATATTCAATCTTCTGATTTCATAGCTGGTCTGTTCAGATTCCCCGGCACTGGATTTGTATTTTCAAAAAGTTACTGGATGTACTTCGGCGTCACCTGTTCATGCCCCCCCCCCCCCCCTCCCCCACGGGATCGCTTAAAACCTTGAATTCTTTCCGGCTGCGCCTTTGGAGATTAACTTTTTGGGTGACTGTTCTGGGAACTTGACAGCTCATGATCTCTTCGGAAACAATGAACTCTTTAAGCCTCTGTACTAATGACGTCACACTATCCTAGTTAGCCAGTTGGGGTCCACGGCCCACTGAGCACCACCATAGGGAAGCACACGCGTAAACATAGTGTGACAGCATAAGTGCAAGGCTTATTCGACAGGCTAAACTTTTGGAACATTACTACATATGTTTAGACAACAAAGGACTAGGAATGATTGGTTCCGGCGCCTGATGACACAGGTGATGCCGAATCTTAAACGCAGTCGAGGTTTGGAAACCCTTCAAGACTTTGTAGAGGGCGCTGTTCGCTGTTCATACTTGACAGAAGTAACTTCATGGTTCATGTGTGTCCTTTCTCTATGTGTAAACTAACTTGCACTGTTGCACAGAAAATCTTGTCAATAAAAAAAGAAATCGACATACTTGTGTAATTTAGTTTGAAAAAGAATAGAAAAGAAAACAATGTCAATTAGTAAGTATCCGAGCTATTACTAGCGACTATTTTGCAGGTGCACAAGTTCACTGATTGCGATCAATCAATCAGTCATTCACCTGTTAATTGAACTCATGTGACCTTTAAACCGCGCTATTTGCGCAATGACTCACGAGTTGCTACTGCGCATTTTATTTTCACGTTGATTATCAGTAGTGCATGTTGTCAGTGCACTGAGTGCAGCATGCAGAGATATAGATGCCCTACTGCCATTACCAGGAAATTGGCGAATCGCGTAGTGTGTGTACAGTACTACGGGGAATTCAACACGAGGAAACGGAAGAGACGTCTCTTAAAGTCCTTTTCCTTTCGAAAGATTTTCAGTTTAACAACATAATGTGAATAGTGGTTGTTTGAGGAATTATGTTATACGCTTCGATTGGCAGATAAGTGTGTCAAAATACGGCAGGATAGGAATGAACGGGATGGAATCACACGACAACGACCGAGTCACCGACATCAACGAGTTCTGCGAAGTGGAGGCGCAGAAAGCCGCGGCGACTTTCGCCCTGGCCTACCACCAGTTCATCACGGAGAACCCACCCGCGGATGACATACCCGTGGACGAGAACAGATTCGCACGGCGATTTGCCGATCACTTCATGGACCACTTCGAGACCGAGGTCCGACGGGCCTACAACACCGTCAGTCCCTCCGATCTGAGGGAAGACCAACAGAACGCCAACACTCACGACGACCCGGCCGGTAGCCCGGCGGCCAGCCCCACTGAGTCCGAGAACAACGCGAACGTCAACACCAGGCTCTTATCGTCCGACTCCGGGCCGCGGCCTGGGAACAGAAATGGGACCACAGCCATGTTCAACGGCGACCCAAACGGTCGCTATTCCAGCAACTCCAGCCTTGACGGCAACCACATCAACTCTGTCAATCAGACTCCTCCTCCGAGAAGCGAAGTCAAACTCCCCAGGAAATTTTCCTTCAGGAACATGACGGAGAATGTTACCCATGTTATCAATCGTTTCCGAAAAGCTCACCAAACCACCGGTCAGCACCACCGGGAACGCGGGATCCGGTATGCCCCAGAAGACATTGTCAGAGAGGGAATTGTGAATTTGCTAACGGGGGAAGATCATCAATGTAAACAAAAGTGGGAGCGAAGTCGACTGGTTCTGGTCAAACGACTTGAGGGCCACATGCTGGATTTTTATGCGCCGCCCAAGGTAGGTACATGTACTGTCCAAATATTGAGCAACTTCATTTGTCATGTTCATCTGGTTTTCAATGAAATTTGAACATTTTAATTCTGTCATTGCTGAAACATGTAAATAATAAGACACCGCATTAGTTGGATATGTGTACAACTGTTCAGTCTCACTCTCACTGTCCGAGTAACTTGGACCCTACAAATCGGGTCTGGCGCATGTCCCAATGTTTAAGAAAGCGATTTGTAGGGTCCAAGTTTATACTCGGACTATACAACTATGTGGTGGGGACCAAGTACTGAACATTCTCAGATCCAAGTTGTTTTGAACATATATTTGTGATGACTGACCATAATTTACTTTTTTTTTTTTAAATGTCCTTCGTTTGTGGTGTTGCTTCATGTGACAAGTTCATGTATTGAATTGAGTAAACCCCAAGTAAACATATCTGTTTATGTGCAAGCTTTTAATCGCAAGATAAATTCCGGCAGGTGTAAGTGACAGTTCTGTGACCTGTGGGACTTGGATTCAACCTTGACCTTGGGTTACAAAATCCACCAACATCCTTTATGTACAGTCCAGCTCCAGATAGTTCTGTATTTACTCAGTGATAAGACATCATGTCATATCATATTTGCATTAATCCTGCGTTACTTGTACGCACACTTGATCGGATTCAGAAAAGAGATTTATGACCAAAAACTAATCTGGTTGCGTGACTCGCACTTCCTGTAATAACTTTGTGATCCTCAAGCTGGTATTATTCACAAATTATATTTCACTATCTTGGCATTCGTTGTATTACTCTCTTTACCAAAAACTTTGTCATGCATTAATGAATCCCTCATACCGTACCTATCTCCATAAGTCTCTCAAACAAAAGACATTCTGTTTTCAAAACAAGATAGCGTTAAAGGTTTTCATCATTTCATAAGTACGTTGAACCCACCTAAGAAACTTAAGGTCTTTTCACACTGTCCCCTACCTGTGTTGAAAAAAAAGCACAGGTCCATCGAAAACTGGTAGGCAAGGAGTCGTGTTCACACTTTCAACCATGACAGCATGCGTTCATGGGTCAGCTGTAGGTTTTAGATTTTCTACCCAGGTGGAGCCTCTCAACCCAGGTCAGGAGCAGGGTTGGAGGCTACCCGTGTAGAGTGCTGGACCCAGGTAGAAACTGTGTTAAGATTCTTGATAGAGAGAAAGGGGTTCCTGAAATCTTCATGTTGGACCCGGGGCCAGACAGTGTGAAGGCCCTAAAGAGGGCAGCGCGCACTCTGGTAATGACTTGACCTTTCCCAATTGATCATAACCCATTTTATTGGAGTGATTTTTGACAAAACATTGTGACAGCACCATCTTACAGCACTTTTCAATTCTGTCAGATTCAGCAGGCATCAAGTGCATGAAGTGATGCTACCATTAGATTATGTTGGATTCAGCGTGCCTTATAGATTTCATCGTACCGGTAGCTGTTGTTAGGATATGTTGGAATCAGCCAGCATCAAACTTTGCTGTTGTCGAGTTCTTTTGGATTCAGCAGGCTTCACACTTTGCTGTTGGCTCCAGCAGGCTACAAACCTTGTTGAAGATTCTGCCGGATCCAGCACTATCTCAATCTCATTGTACATTGTACAGTAGCCCCCTCCCCCATGAAAAATGTCTCGCTTTGCCAGTGTACAGCACCACTGAGTTTCTGTTCAGAGGTGGTGTAGCGTGAATATCCGACTCCATGAAATGTGGACTCATTGGTAGTAGTGCGCACGCGTGAGTACGATACTACGCTATTTTTAGGATCGTTTGGGAAGAGTGACCTGTCACGTGCGAGGGATGAACCAATAAAAGGGAAAAAGGGGCCCGATTTTCATAGGAGTCGGATTTTCATGTGACAGTGGATTTCAGAGTCGGGTTTGTGGCAGAGTTGACCAGAGATTTAGAGCTAAAATCAAATCATTAGCAGTTAAGCATTGAGAAGGACATTTTTTTCAGGAAAATATTTTCAAATGAATAAATTTATCAGGGTTTTCTCTTCTTTAGTGTAATGACATTGGTGAAATACTTCCACCTAACAGTAGGCCTACATTGATTGCAATGTGACATACCTTACCCATATCCAGGTATGAGATGCCTCTGCTTGTGTCCTTTTTATGGTCCACTAGGCAAGGCTGGGCCCAGACAGTGATTAAAAGTTGAAAGCTTCATATTTTGACTGTTCTCAAGGCCTGTTATCATGACATAACCAGGCTGGAGAAAAGATAACAAGACACTTTTTAGAGGCCCCTGGATGAGTACAATGCTGAGGAACACTGGGTCAGTCTAGACATGCTAAATCTTTATTATGATGGCTGTCAATAAATGCCCACTTCAGAACCAAAAGGACAGAATTGTGGTTCCTTTGTAAATAATGCAAACTTGTGATTTACTATGCCACAACTTTATCAAGATTGTAAGATTGAATTAGTACGATTGGTACAGCGTGAAGAAGTTTCTTTCGTCGTACTGCCTCACTCTAGAATTTTCCACAATTCTTCATTTCCCCATTTTGTATTTTCCCGCCACCCACGTGCATGTAATGCTTCATTCCTCCGTCTTTCTTTTTTAACTGTATTTTTTGCTGAAAGTTTGATGAAATATGGAACATTGAATTGTGGAATGTTATTGGAATATTGGTGCAGTGGTGAAGAAATTCCTCAAGTTTCTTCCCGCTTACTGCCTCACTTTAGAATTCCTTGCCGGGATTCTGCATGCCCCTGTTGTATCGTGTTACTGAGGTTCCTTCTTTGTTTTTGTTTTTTAGCTGCAGTTTGTTTGAAAGTTTGATGAAAGTTTGATTTTCTAGTGACCTTGCCTACATCCTCTGTTTGAATCCACACTCTGTGGATGTGGCTTGTGTCCTCTTGTTTCGTCAACCCCTTCCATCCTCTTCAGCATTTATTGCCCAATGAAACTAATGTGTTCTGTGGTCGTTCTAAGACTTGGTGACATGCCAAGTTTAACTGCAAAATTGGTTATGATTTAGATGTGCCATTGAGATGTGAATTGCAGTTGAAAGTGATACAAACGAAGACAATCAAAAAATCAAATCAATGCACATTACCCTAAGACTGTTACTCCCCAACTAGATTATCAGTCCCATCTGCAGTTGAGGCGGTCCCAACGTTTGTACGGATTATTTCAACTTAAGTGTTACGTCTCCAACACTTAAGTTGGGATGGTCCGAACCTAAGTTCGGACCATGGTCTTGTTGGGACTTCACAAGACTACCACGTGTTATTAAACAGAGGTAATGCATGCTTGGAGTCGAACTTGCAAGTGTGGAAACAAGTGACAGATGTGTTCCAGTAGCTTCCCCAAGTTAACTCAGGCATTAAAAGGGAAAGGTTTAAAACCACAAGTTACTTTACATCCTCAAGGTCTACAAAGAGTAAATGTCAAATGTCAACCAATCGTGGATTTACAGCTTGGGTTTTTAAACATTTGACAGGGTGATGAAAAGCTTATCTAGCCATCGACAAATGCCCATTTTGGACAGAATCTACTTTGAGATTGTCTGCTTTTCCATCATTCGCCGAAATTAACGATGTTGGACTGGAGTTTGAATAAGATAAATGAATAATTCTGTTAAGACCTCAAATAGGTCTAAAGTTTCATATTTTTTTGGCCACTTAATGGACAGTACTTTAAACATAATTTGGCATGTAAATTTCTGGATCTTTCCCTCTGTCTGACTGACATTATTTCCTCAATTTACACCATAAACAAACCTGTGTGTTACTTGTATGTGTGTGATGTACTGTAATTCCTCTTCTGTCCCGCTCCCTGGGTTGGGTCTGTTGTGGCTGCCCAGGTCATGCCATAAGACCTAATCAAATTGTCACAGGGCTAACCTGGGTTGACCCAGGATTTCACCTAATTGAACGCATCCCAAGAGTGTCCAGTTTGTATGCATAATGATTTTCACACTCTGCCTGTGAAAAACTCTGATAATGCGATCCAAGTACTCACTGACAGGGTTGCATCAAATTCTTGGGGAAAGTACACCGGTACCGTACGGTAGCTCTACTTACAGAACGCTATGGGTCATTCCACCGGGTTGGGAAGCAGTGCATGTTACATCCATATATTTGGTTATATTATTAAAAGTATCAATGCACTCTGAACAATTGCTCAACGTAATACATGTATGTGTCTTAGGGTGTTTCAATACTTGAGAAAGTTTGAAATCATTTGAAAGTACTTTGAAAAAAATATGAGCAAAAATGTATTAAAACATTGACACCGTGTACAGAACGCTATAGCTTCACATACAGTACAGTAGATGCTACATGTACAATGATCCCACAATGTCCTGCAAGACATCTGTGTAGGCCCACATAAAAAGTAACATTCCCCTGTGTGCACATAAATTTACATGTAAGGCCAAAAAAAATTAATAGTTCTGCTTCCAGTCACCCTACAATGTACCTACCCTATTTTGACAGCCCCTACCCTAATTTTGGGGGGAAATATCAGGGACAAAACCTGAAACCCATCAATTACTACCTTTCACCCTTTACTACACGCAGACACCTCCATATGATTGTACACAACAAAATTGCCAAAAAAATTCCCTACCTACATGTGGTCTACATACATGTTGTACCCTATAGATTTTCAAATGCCATGTAATCGGAAGCAGAAATATATATTTTTTGGCCTAAGGTATAGGTTTACTACACACCTAAGGTTCAAATTTCACTGCGTGTAGTAAAGGGTAAAAGGTAGTAATTGATGGGTTTCAGGTTTTTTTCCATTTTTTTCGTAGAAACTTGTCACATTGCTCTTCATCAATAAAATCTTGGTGGATTACAGCAATTTTTGTTTTTACTTTACATTCTGAAGGGGGTTGGGCAGTACACTGTACCGTAGCTGTATGGAAACATGAAGGCCAGATAATCTTTTCGAAAATGTCCTGCTTGCTGACACACCTTCTGGCTAATTTTGTATTTAAAAAAAGGAGAGAAAAAGCAGAATATATC